CCGGGAAGAGCGCAATGATGGTGCCAACTTGGGCCAGTGAAGCAACGTCCTCCACAACTAGACTGAAGAACAAAACGACAGCAACTTGTCTGTTCCCCTTATCCCAATTCCCCAGCACTTTTCCCGTCCCCCCAATTCCCCAATAAAAATCTTTAAAAAAAAAACATTTTAGTTTCATATCCAAGATGGTGGAATAGATAAATACTGTGTGGGGCCAGCCAAGTGGCTCAGTTGGTTAAGAGCACAAGCTCAGAGCAACAGAGTCACCGGTTCGATTCCCACACGGGCCAGTGACCTGTGCCCGAGCTGAACTTCCGCTGAGCTGCCAACAGGTGGCAGGATGGCTCAACTGATGAGAGCACGTGCTCTTAACAACAAGGTTGCTGGTTTGGCTCCCTCATGGGATGGTGGGCTATGCCTACCCGCAACTAAGATTGAACATCGCACCTTGAGCTGAGCGGCAGCGAGCTGCCGATGGGCAGCCAGATGGCAACTGGACTTGGAGCTGACCTAGCTGCACCCTCCACAACTAAGATTGAAGAACAACAACTTGGCTGTTCCCCTTCCCCAATTCCCCAATATAATCTTTTAAAAAAATAAAAATACTGTACCTGCTTCCTTCCATGAACACATTAAAATTACAACTAAATTATAGAACAATCAACCTGGAGAACCCTCTGAAGTCTAGCTGAACAGAAGTTTTATAACTCAGGATATAAAGAAGAAGCCATGTTGAGACTGCTAGGAGGGGTGGAGACGTGAAATGGGCTGGCCCCACACCTGTGTGCAGTGGTTGAGAATCAAAAGGGATATCTCAGCTGTGAAGGTTCCCCTCCCTGCCCCAGAGGAGCAAGGGACCCCAGCCTCACACCAGGCTCCCCAGCCCAGACTGCTGGTGCCAGGAGGAGGAGCCCCAACAACATCCGGCTGTGAAAAACAGTGGGAATTCCAACTGACTGGGACAGAGGACTACAGAAAACCCAGACGTCCTCTTAAGGGGCCCAAGCACAGACTCACTCACCCTGGGCTCCAGCGTAAGGATGGTGGCTCAGGGAGCATCAGAGGCATACGGGGGATAGACTGAGGTGTGTGGCTCCAGATCAAGGTCTGAAGGACAGTCTCCATCTTCCCTGTGAGGGTGCCTCCAACCATGCAGCCAGCAGGCAGGTACCATCTTTCCTGTGTTGAGCCCTCCCACTATGCTTATAGCAAATCTGATTGGTCTGGTGACCTCTGCTTGCTATGCCCACTATGCCCTGCTGACTCACTGGGATGCTGGCCCACTCAACTACCCCAATGCAGGAGGCACTTTCTCTGTGAGCAGCCAGCCTGACAAGCATTTCACTCCTTCTTGGAAAACTATCAAAGTCCACAGGCCCCAGGCAGGCAGCGATTGGCTTCAATGTGCTCTGAAACTTTTGCTGAGTTGCTCCAAGCTCAGCACTAGCACCAAACCAGAATCTACATTAACCTGGTGACCACAACTCTTCACACTCTAGTGATTCCCTGAGACCATGCCTCGCCCAACTTGCATACCACACGAGGCTTTATCAGTGGCTGAACCTTAAGGGAGCCAGCAGGTGGCAGTAGGTCTTGGGGTGTCCTGGCTTTTTGCAGAGTTACCCCAGTCCTGGTACTGTTGGTAGCGATTCTCAGTTCACAGCGTGGCCTCTCCCATGCACCTCCAGTTTTAGCACAGGCAGCAAAAAAAACGCAGATCACTTTGTGGCTCCTACCAGCTAGTTCCCGGCCAGTCACAGGCAGTGGCTGACCTGGGCCTGCATCAGAGCCCCTCCTAAGAGGCCCCAGAACCAACATACTTGGAGGTTGGCTTCAGACCACAGCAGAGCACCACCCATTTAGCCCCACAAGTGGCACATCCAAAGGGTGGTCTCAACAGGCACCAGAGCCCGCTGGGGTGAACTGCACAGCAGCCTGTAAGCTGTGGACATGGCCAAACTTCATAGCAAATCAGCCTGAGGGTCAATCCCACCCATTGATATGCCAATAGCAATCAAAGCTCAACTACAACAGGAGGGCACACACAACCCACACAAGGGACATTCCTGGAGCACCCAGAGCAGGTGACCAGGGAAACTGTGCCAGGTTCCCACAGGGCATCTACTACATAAGGCCACTAGGTCAAGACTGGGAGACATAGCAGATCTACCTAATAGATAGAAACAAACACAGAGAGGTAGCCAAAATAAGGAAACAAAGAAACTGTGTCCCAAATGAAAGAACAGAAGAAAACACCAGAAAAAGAACTAAACAAAATGGAGGCAAGCAACCTACCAGATATACAGCTTAGAACAATAGTTATAAGGATGCGCAAGGGTCTTAAAACTTCAACAAAGAGATAGCAAGCATAAAAAAAAGACATAGAAACCATAAAAAATAACCAGTCAGAGGTTACAACTGAATACAACTGAATATAACTGAAATGAAGAATGCACTAGAAGGAATCATCAGCAAACTAGATGAAGCAGAGGATCGAATCAATGATTTGGAAGACAAGGTAGCAGAAAACACCCAATCGGAACAGCAAAAAGAAAAAATAATTTAAAAAATGAGGATAGTTTAAGAGACCTCTGGGACAACATCAGCATAACAACATTCACATCATAAGGGTACCAGGTAAAGAGAGAAAGCAAGGGATTGAGAATGTACTTGAAGAAATAATGACTGAAAATTTTCCTAACCTGGAAAAAGAGATAGATATACAAGCCCAGGAAGCGCAGAGAGTCCAAAACAAGTTGAATCTAAACAGGCCCACACCAGACACGTTATAATTAAAATGGCAAAGGTTAAAGACAAAGAAAGGATCCTAAAAGCAGCAAGACAAAAGCAACTAGTAACTTATAAGGGAGCTCCCATAGATTGTCAGCTGATTTCTCAACAGAAACTTTGCAGACCAGAAGGAATTGGCACAAAATATTCAACACGATGAAAAGCAAGGACCTACAACCAAGAATACTCTACCCAGCAAGGCTATCATTCAGAATCAAAGGACAGATAAAAAGAATCCCAGATGAGGGCCGGCCGAGTGGCGCGACGGTTAAGAACTGGCTTGGGGGCCGGCCGAGTGGCGCGATGGTTAAGAACTGGCTTGGGATGCCAGAGCGCCCCGGTTCGGATCCCACATATGAGGGCCAGTGACACTGCCCTCCACAGCTAAGATGCTGAACAACAGCTCAACCTGGAGCTGGGCTGCTGTGAGTCACCAGCGACAGCGTAGGCTGCAGCCCCTGTGGCAGTGGGTTGCCATGGGCTACCGTGTGTAGCCAGCAGCCAGCGTGAGCAGCCAGTAGCTGCAGTGAGTGGCCGTCCAGAAGCCAGCAACTGATCTGCCTCACCCGGGAAGAGCGCAATGATGGTGCCAACTTGGGCCAGTGAAGCAACGTCCTCCACAACTAGACTGAAGAACAAAACGACAGCAACTTGTCTGTTCCCCTTCCCCCCCAATTCCCCAATAAAAATAAAAAAAAGAATCCCAGATGAGAAAAAGCTAAAGCAGTTCATCATCACCAAACCAGTATTACAGGGACTGTTAAAGAGACTTCTTTAAGATGGGGGGGGGGATCAAAATTATGAATAATAAAATGGCAATAGCTACATATCAACAATTACTTTCAATGGAAATGGATTAAATGCTCCAATGAAAAGACATAAGAGGGCTGAATGGATAAGAAAACAAAACCTTACATATGCTGCCTATAAGAGAATCACTTCAGATTGAAAGACACACACAGATGGAAGGTAAAGGGATGGAAAAAGATATTTCATGAAAATGGAAATAAAAAGAAAAAAACAACAAAAAGCTATAGTTACTTACTTACACCAGGAAAAAAAAATAGACTTTAAAACAAAGGCTGTAACAAGGCAAAGAAGGACCCAATAATCCCACTTCTAGGTATTCATCCGAAGAAACCCAAAACACTACTTCGAGGGTACCTGTGCATCCATATGTTCATTGCAGCATTGTTTACAATGGTCAAGATGTAGAGGCAGCCTGGGTGTCTGTCAATGGAAGAATGGATAAAGAGGAAGTGGTACATATACAGAGGGTGCCAAAAAAATGTATACACATTTTAAGCAAGGAAAAAAACTGTATTAAAATTGTAATACTCAATATATACTGATAACAAAAGATGAATACAAGTCACATGTACACATTTTTTTGGCACCCACAGTATACACTGAAATATTGCTTGGCCATGGAAGGGAATGGGTTCTTGCCATCTGCAGTGGCATGGATGGACCTGGAGGGTATTGTGCTGAGTGGAGTGTTAAACAGAGAAAGACAGATGCAATGAGATTTCACTTATACGTGGAATCTAAAGAACAAAGCAAACAAACAAAACAGAAATAAAGTCCTTGATACAGAGAACATTTTGATGGTTGCCAGATGGGAAGGGGTTGGAGGTATAGGTTAAAAAGGGAGGGGATTAAGAAGTATTGGTACAAATTGGTTGTTACAAAGTCATGGGAATGTAGGGTATACATAAGAAATATAGTCAATAATATTGTAATAACTATGTGTGGTGTCAGATGGGTACCAGATTTGTTGGGGTGATAGATGAGAGGGGGTTGGGGTACAGGGTGAAAAAAGTGAAGGGATTAAGAAGTACAAATTGGTAGTAACAAAATAGTCATGGGGATGTAAAGTAAAGCATAGGGAATAGAGTCAATAATAAGGTAATAACTCTGTATAGTGCCAGGTGGGTACTAGACTAGTCAGGGGGGTCACTTCTTAAATTATATAAATGTCTAACCACTATTCTGTACACCTGAAATTAATACAAAATAACACTGAATGTCAACTGTAATTGAAAAACAATTTTAAAGGGGAAGGGGAATATACCATGACTTACTTGTTTTATACCAGATTTCCAGGTATAAAACAAGTCATGGGGATGTAATGTACAGCATAGGGAATATAGTCAATAATACTGTGATAGCATTGTACAGTGTCAGATGGTTGCTGGACTTACCATGGTGATCACTTCTTTAGGTATATAAATGTGAATAACTATAATGTATCCTTGAAACTAACATAATATTGTATGTTAGGAGGCCAGCCGAGTGGCTCAGTTTGTTAAGAGCTCGCTCAAGAGTGCGAGCTCTGAGCAACAGCGGTTCGATGCCCGGCCTGAGCTGAGCTGCCAAGCTGCCAACAGGTGGCAGGATGGCTCAGCTTAAAAAAAAAAATTTTTTTTTAATTGTATGTTAGGTATGCTTTTAATAAAAATCCTTTTAAAAGCATTTTAATTTCTTTTAAAATTATAAGTAAAATAAATGTTTGCATCAAAGAAAATATTTTAATGTATAATATTAATATATTTGTCTTTAAACCAACATAATAACAAAATATAATTTTTAATATTGTTTTTAAGTAGAAAGGTGCCTATGAAGGCAAAAGTGCCTAGAGTCCATGAAAAGTTATAGTGGAGCCCTAGTAGCAACATGTATAACTGGTCTTTCTCTTCCATTATTGCCTCTGCATAACCCACTCTCCATTCAGTAGCCTGAGTATTCTTGTGTGTGTGTGGTTTTTTTTTTTTTTCATTGAAGTATAACTTCTACAAGTGCATAAATCTTAAGTGTACTATGTGATGACTTTTTACATAAATATACACTCACGTAACCACCACCCACCTCAAGATACTAATCTTTTTCAAAATTTTACTTCAAGTCATGACATTCTCTTGTATAAAATCCCTCCATTCTTTCCCAACCCACTTGGAATAAAATCCAAACTCCCAAACCTGGTTTACAAAGCTTCACATTATCCAACCCTTACATATATCTGGAACTCCATCTTGTACCACTCTCCCCACTCCCTTAACATACTCCACTACCAGTGGAGTATGTTATACCAACTATAAGTTCCTCAACTTGCCAAGATATTTCTGGAGCTTTTGACTTAGCTTTGCATCCTCCGCCTTCACCTAAAGCTCTTCCTAAAGAAGTTCACAGGGCTGGCTATTTGTAATTCAGATCTGTTTAAATGTCACTTCCTCAAAGGCTTTCCCAGGCCAGGCAACCTAGAGTTACACCCAATCACCTTTTATCAAATCACCTTAATTACCTAGAGGGCTTATCATTTCTAATATTTTTTTCTTCACTGCTTATTGTCTGTCTTTCCCTCACTGAACTAAACCTCCTTTGGGGTGACTTTGTTATCTCTTGTACTCAAAAAAGCCAGTAACAATACCTGACACATGGTAGATGCCCAATGAAATTTTTCATTGAATGAAATGCTAATATATGATAAAATGTAACATTAGCTAGAGAACTCATGGGTGGCACTCCTCTGTGACACTATAGAGCCTGAATTTGTCTGAACCTAGCCAGTGAAATGAAGGATAAAATGAAGTAAAAACCCATGGCAATTAAGTGTTCTGTCTGTTTCTTTGTGTGTGTTTTTTTAAGTTTTTTTATTGGGGAATTGGGGATGGGAATAGCACTGGGGAATTGGGGGAAGGGGAACAGACAAGTTGCTGTCCTTTTTGTTCTTCAGTCTAGTTGTGGAGGACGTTGCTTCACTGGCCCAAGTTGGCACCATCATTGCGCTCTTCCCGGGGGAGGCAGATCAGTCGCCGGCTTCTGGACGGCCACTCTTGCTGCTCATGCTGGCTGCTGGCTACACACGGTAGCCCATGGCAACCCACTGCATTAGGGGCTGCAGCCTACGCCGTCGCCCGAGACTCAGGACAGCCCAGCTCCAGGTTGAGCTGTTGTTCAGCATCTTAGCTGTAGAGGGCAGTGTCACTGGCCCTCATATGTGGGCCCCTCTAGTGTCCCAAGCCAGCTCTTAACGAACGTGCCACTCAGCCGGCCCCTGTTTGTTACTTTCTTATTCCTTCTAAATATGCCAAATTAAAACCATCCTTATCTAGGATATTGAGCTTGTTTTGTTTCAACAAAAAGTGATATAAAAAGAAATTCGGAATCTTCGCTTTCATAAAATCTATTGAGACACAGCGAGGCTGGGTTCCAGACCGATTCCATTCAGTCCCATAGAAGCGCCCCTAGCTAGCGCTGCCCCGCCCCTTCCGTTTACCCCCACCGGTAGGAAATCAGCGGAGCAGGAGACCCCGCCCCGTACTCAGACCCTGCCCCTGATTCGCGTGTAGCCCTACGTAAAGCGTTAAAGGTTTCGCGACAGCCCAGGCCCCACCCCTTCGGCCACATGTCGCGCAGGTCTTCCCGACGGACGCCGCGCCACCTCCTCGCGCTGCTTTACGAACCTAGAGCAGCGCCGCCCCGCCTCTCTGTTCTCCCTCACCTCCCCGCCCCCTCCCAGTTTTGCGTCTCCTAGCCCGACGCGCCCGCTATAATCACGTGATTGCCTCATCCGGGTCCTTTGCGTTCTCTCTCCCTCTCCCAACATGGCGGCCTCAGGTGAGTGAGCGGCTGAGCTCGGCCAAGGACCGGTCTCCCAAACCACTCTCCGAGTCTGATCCACTGATCCCCTCGAGTCGGGGAATGGGCGGCACCACTTCCCTTCGGATTTGGGGCCTGCGGCAGGCTGGCGGCTTGGCCATGTTAGGTTATCGCCTCGGGATGGTTGGGGGGGAGGGGAAGGACACCCTCCCCCTCACACCCTTTTCACCCCATCTGCGCGAGGTTGGAGCGGGGAGTAATGATGGACTCTGGCTTGAATTGGAATGAGGAGGAGGCGCGGAAAGATCTATGGGGGGCGTGAGGCCTTCTCATAGATGTTAAGCAATGTGCCCGCGTGGAGGAAGGAAGGAGGCGGTTGGCGCGCGGACGGGTGCACACTAGATTAGGTCTCCGAGGCGCGAGGCCGTTGTGGACGGGAGTGGGGGCAGGGGAAAAAAGGGGGGGCAGTTACAACACGATCGCGAGTCGGTGGAGGGGCGGAGGAAGGCAGCGGTGCGCGTGCGCGTTAGGCGAGCCGAGGGTAGTGGAGACGGGCGCGCCTTAAAAGCACGCGCGAGAGCGCAGATGGCAAGATTTTATGCGTCTGTGTTGGTTTATTTTATGTCCTTTCAGTTTTTTCTCTTCTCCTTTTAGAGTGTGGCCCGAGCTTTGTATTTTCCCAAGGGTATATGTGTTAGGTTTGGAGGTTGAAGCTACTATAGTTAGTGGGGGTGGGGAACCCACTGTGGTGCGCCCACGTGTTGGAGAGGAAGCAAGGATAGAGACAGATTTCTTCTAGGCTTTTTTTCCTTAATTCAATCAACAGGTTTTTACTGAACGCAAACTATATGCCAGGCACGGTTCTAGGTGTTGGAGATACAATGGTAAACGAGATCAGACCCCTTGACAGCTTCCATTTTGGTTTAATTTTTATAGCTCCAGTGATGGAGTTCAGCCCTTTTTTTGTTTGTTTGTTTTAAGATCACTCATAAAAATCTGCTTGCGTTTTTAATGGACTTACCAGTGAGCTGTGCAACATTTTGTAGCATTAATTTTAGTTTTGGGGATTTATAGTCGGCACTTCTTATCAGCAAATTGAACCGTGGGGATAGGAAATATTGGGGGGGAGTGTTACATTGTTCCTGATGTGTTCTCGGTAGTTAGCCTGTGATAGTTGTCAGTACTGAACATGTATAGACTTTTGTCATTATTTCCTAAACACAGTATATAACAACTATTTACATAGCATTTACATTGTATTAGGTATAAGTAATATAGAGATGATTGAAAGTATGTGGGAGGATGTGTGTAGGGTGTATGCAAATACTATGTCATTCTATATAAAGGACGTGAGTATCTGAGGATTTTAGTATCCAGGGAGGTCCTGGAACCAATCCCCCTACAGTTTGGAGGAACAACTAATTTCTTCCCTGGCATAACCCAGCATTTTATGAAACATTTATAGAACCCCTGCTATCACTGGACACTCTTTTTCACCAAGAATTTATCTTCTCTGTTATTACATAGGAGACTAAGGATTATGTATGTCTTTGAAAAACGTTGAGGGAATTGAGGTGTATTTGAACATAATACCTTTTCTTGGTGTAGCACAAGACAATTGACCAAGCATTTTTATGTCTATTGTCTCATTTGATACTCTGTGAGATAAATGTAGGTAAATGGTATCTACCAGCTGAGGAAGATGAAATTATTTGTTCAAGGTCACACTGTATGCATGTGGCAGAGCAAGGTCAAAATCTTTGAGACTCCCGACTCTTCTCCATTATCAACTTGGAAATAACAAGGTTGGCTTCCATCTGTATTCCATCATAAGTTTGGGGTGATACCCAAAAGCTTCATCTGAAATAAAGTGCTTATTTGGCCTGGATTTGCCATGTTGATGGCTTAGTATCATAATTTAGTGAAAAGCCTATACTCCCCTTTCTCCATAACTTTTGTGGAATTTTTAGAAGTGGAAGAAATATTAGCAGTTCGAGTTCTTCATTTTACAGAGTTGCGTGAAATCCAGACTGGTTAAAGGGATTTACTTAGTGATGTCTCCTCCTGTTCTTCCATATTTACTCTACCCACTTGGAAGCCCTCATCTCCTTAATCCCATAAATCTTTTTAGATTGTGTAGTGTGTATAAGGGACACTATGCTAGTGTCTGAGCACAAGGTTACATCTGAGAGTCTGTCCTTGAGGAATCGGGCATTTGTCAAAATTCTTTCCCCACTTTGAATCTTTTTCAATCAATTGCATTGACTTTAATGAGTGACAAGTGGAAAATCCCATGTATTGGGCACTCAACCAATATGGCTGTACTTAAACTATAAAACTCAGTGTGTTTTCAGTATACTTTTTTATGTCAGGTGTGTTTGATACAGGTTAATAATTTTTGAGACTAAAATGCTTTAAAATTGGAAATAGTGTATGTATACCTATAGAAGGTCATTCGTTTATATAACATGGGATCTTGTTTTCATTGATTTTTATGGAGAGAGGGTGGTGTCCAATGGTAGTTTTCATACAGTGCTGACCCTTATAGTTAAAAAATAGCTTCATTGGTTGCCATTTATGCCATTTACATATTAACCTATTTTCAAATCCCGTCCTCTACCGTATGTTATTCTGAGAGTAAGATAATCAGAATGCCAAGACTAAAACTCCATATGAGAATTAAAGTACAAATACAGAGTAGTGTCAAAGTAAAAGAATATTTCTTAAGTCATTTAAGTATATACTTTTTAAACAGCTTTGAGATATAATTCACATATCATATATGTATTAGTCTGAAAACATCCTAGAATTCTCTTTTCATGATGGAGTAAAGAATGAACTTCAGGGTGACTTTTTTAGAAACCAAGTGTTTATTTGTAATTAAGTATGTATGTGTACATTTATTTATAAGTGTACATACCAAAGTCAGTTTCTTAAGATTTGTAATAGATACTGCTGTAATCCTAACGGTAGGAAGATGCCTGAAGCAAGAAGTTATTTTTTAATTTTTATAGCTCCTCTCTTACAGAGAAGCTCCAGGTACTTTGTGTAGTGGTTAGCAATGATGTGTATTAGGTGCTTATTTTATTTATCTTTTTTTAATGATTTTATTGGGGAAGGGGAACAGCCAAGTTGTTCTTCAATCTTAGATGTGGAGGGCGCAGCTAGCTCAGCTCAAAGTGCCATGTTCAATCTTAGTTGCCGGTAGGTGTAGCCCACCACCCATGCATGGGGAGTCGAACCGGAAACCTTGTTGTTAGGAGCACGTGCTCTCATCAGCTGAGCCATCCTGCCACTTGTTGACATCTCAGCGGCAGGGCAGCTCAGCTCAGGCACAGCTCACTGGCCCCTGTGGGAATCAAATTGGTGACCCTGTTGCTCAGAGCTCGCGCTCTTAACCAACTGAGCCACTCAGCCTGCCTGCTTATTTTATATTTTTTTATGTAAATGATCCAACTGAGTGTCTGGAGAGGGGAGGAAAAGACAGTATAGCATTCTCCTCAGATTGTGTCAAGATGAAGAAACTGGGCAGAGAAGAGGGGTCATATAACTGAATGTAGGTTGAGGTAATGGAGCTTATTAAGCCCTGACTCTGACTAAGTCTTTACTCTCTTCTATGCTGAACTGTAATGCAGTAAAGGTGAGGCCTCAACATCATGACATTGCATTGTATGAAACATCTTTTCATGTATGGGCTCTAAACAGCAGCTGTAGGCACTCTGATATTTGGGTACATTGACTGCATTTATACAATAGTTCTTTAAGGAAACATTTGTTAATCATTAATTAGTTTTTAATTCCAGAGGAGGATTTGGCAGGATTCATTTCCCAAAAAGAAACACCTTACCCATTAGTAGTTATTTATCCTTCCCTCTCCCCCCCAATATTAATCTGTTTTTTTGTATTTACCTGTTCTAAACATTTCATATAAAGGGAATCATAAAATATGTGGACTTTTGTTACGTCTTTCACTTAGGGTTCATGTTTTCAGGGTTCATCTGTACTGTAAGGATGTGTGGAAACATAATCCTTATTGCCAAATCCATTGTATAGATAGCTACATTGTATTTATCCATTCATTAGTTGATGGGCAGTTAGACTTTTGTTTTTTTTTGCCTATTATGAATAATGCTGCCATGATCTTATACAGGTTTTTATGACACTTTCTGATTTTCTTAGCCTATAGTTACTAAAACATTTAGAAGAGTCGATAACCCTATAAAATAAGTGGGACTTAGTCTGACAAGATCTAAAATTAAGCAACTTAATTTTTGACAAAGCCCCATGTGAATGTTAAGAGCTATGGGGGGCCGGCCAAGTGGCTCATTTGGTTAAGAGCTTGCTCAAGAGTGCGAGCTCTGAGCAACAGAGTCACCAGTTCGATTCCCACATGGGCCAGTGAGCTGCACCTGAGCTGAGCTGCTGCTGATTTACCAACAGGTGGCAGGATGGCTCGCTGGTGGGAGCACATGCTCCTAACAACAAGTTTGCCTGTTCGAGATGGTGGGCTACACCCGCCCACAACTAAAGACTGAACTTGGCATCTTGAGCTGAGCTGTCGCCTGGGTGGCTCAGGGGATAGAGGGAGCACTCTTTACAACGAGGCTGCTGGTTTGACCTCCCGCATGGGATGATGGCTACGCCCACCCACAATGAATTGAACACAGCACCTTGAGCTGAGCTTGCTGCGCCCTCCACAACTAAGATTGAAGGACAATAACTTGGCTGTTCCCCTTCCCCAATTCCCCAACACTGTTCCCCTCCCCAATTTCCCAATAAAATCTTTTTTTTTTTTTTAAATTTTTTTTTTTTTTAATTGGGGAATTGGGGGGATGGGAACAGTGCTGGGGAATTGGGGGAAGGGGAATAGACAAGTTGCTGTCCTTTTGTTCTTCAATCTAGTTGTGGAGGACGTTGCTTCACTGGCCCAAGTTGGCACCATCATTGTGCTCTTCTCTGGCGAGGCAGATCAGTCGCCGGCTTCTGGACGGCTGCTCACTGCGGCTGCTGGCCGCTCACGCTGGCTGCTGGCTACATACGGTAGCCCATGGCAACCCACTGCCACAGGGAGTGCAGCCTACGCCGGCGACTCATGGCAGCCCAGCTCCAGGTTGAGCTGTCGTTCAGCATCTTAGCTGTGGAGGGCAGTGTCGCTGGCCCTCATATGTGGGATCCGAACCGGGGCCCTCTGGCATCCCAAGCGAGTTCTTAACCATCGCGCCACTCGGCCGGCCCTAAAATCTTTAAAAAAAAAAAAAAATGTGGGAATTTCCCTTCCTAAATCAATGTTAGTTTAAGAAAGATGCAGAAGTGGGGTGGCATTATGCAACAAGTAAACTTTATTGCTTATTGTACTTTAAGATGTCCTCTGTTTGAAATAAAAAACTAGCAGCCAGTCTATAGATTTTATAACTCCAATATTTGCCAGTTGGTGCTTTTATTACTAATACAGTGGAGTAATAACAGAAAAACACTCTGAGAAAAGTAAAGGGAGCATTTTTTTACATGCTGTATCCTGATATCCTGAAGACTTGGTTTATTGCAGTGACTTTTCTGCTAGTGTACTTTATATAGGGCTAGCATTTCCTTTTGTTTGTGCTTTTATTTATTGATGTGAAAATAACATTTAGAACAGTGGTTCTTAACCAGGGGGCAATTTTTGTCGCCCACTTGGGGACATTTAGCAATGTCGAGGCATTTTTGGTTGTCACAATGGGATGGGGACTCTCCTACTGGCATCTAATGAGTAGAAGCTGGTGATGCTGGTAAACAGCCTACAATGCACAGGACAGCCCCCCACAACAAAGGATTACCCATCCTATGGTGTAATGTCAGTGGTGGAGAAACTGACTTGGAGTTAAGTTGATTAGTTTTATTTATTTTTGTATATATCATAACAAACCCTGTTTATTAATGCTACAAATGTATATTCTCTGTTGTTTAAGGAGTTGTGGACTAAAAATTTTGTAAAATACTTCCTTTTCTAAGATTTTTAAATTTAACCTGTATAAGTATGTAAAGAGCTTCACAAGTACAGTAGGCCCTCTATATCCATGGGTTTTACATCTGCCAGTTCCACCAATCACAGATCAGAAATAATGGGGGAAAGGTTACATTGTTGCTGACATGTGCTATGTGATTAGGCCTGCTATGGTTCTATCTGTACTGAACATGTACAGATTTTTTTCCTTGACATTATCCCTTAAACAATACAGTATAACAAGTACAACTATTTACATAGCATTTACATTATATTTGGTATTATAAGTAATATAGAGATGATTCAAAGTATACAGAAGGATGATTTAAAATACTCCATTTTATATCAGGGATTTGAGCATTGGCGAATTTTGGTATCCCTGCGGGGGCTGGGGGTGTCCTGGAACCGATCCCCCCGTGGGACGACTCTACCCAGTGCTTGTTTGATAAATTACAATTGTAATTGAGGCAGCAGGCAGTTAGAATATTTCATAAAATTTCTGGGATGTGTGTTTTTTCCCCTTTAGTCCATGTTGGTTTGGTCTTAAATAAAACTAAGAGTTGGACCAGTTCCATCATTGTGGCAAGGGATTAGTACACCTGGAGCATTAAAAGATGTTTTCCTTAAAAAGAAGTAGAGAACATTGTTGAAATTCTAAACATGTCATGGGCCTAGATACTGGAGGAACAAAGGGCATAAAGGATTTAGATAATATCGGTTCCCAGTTATTGGAATAAAATAGAGTGGAGCAAACATTGGCACCTACTTAGATTTATTGATTTTGCTTTCTAAAGGCTACTTCCTTTAAATCTGCTGCTTATACTGTGACTGAGTCAATGCTGCTGCTAGATTTAATGAAACATAACTCAGAGGTCTTGTGAAAGAATTTCTCTGTTTAAATGAAATCTATCATTATCCAACAGGCATTTTTCTCAACCGGAAATTTTTGGAGGGGGCAGTGACAGAATCAGGAGAAATGGGGATATATGATTTGAAAAGGCATTCTAAAATAGTGCTTTAATTTTTTTAGTCATGATATTTAGTTTATTATTTTTGAAATTTGAAATAACATTAAAGGAGAGTGTGAGGCTTGTTTGTCAAGAGTCAAGAGGTGAAAATTGAGAAACCTTGATCGAGAAAGTTGATTTAAGCTGAAGTCAGACCAAAGGGCAAGTTAATTCCAGATTCTGCTGTTTTGGTATTGGTTATGTGTATAGAACAAAGGGGAAAATGATACCTTAATCAAATTTTTATTATTCTTATGTTGAACTTGGCCTTATTTGTATGGACTAACTCCTAGTTCTATTTCTATTTTCCCAGTGACCAGATTGGTTAATAATTGGGTATAGCTGATAATACTAGGTTAAGTCCCATGAGGGTAAGGATCTCTAGCTAGCATCTTACTAGTTCCAGACACTATTTTTGAACTAGATGATATGGAAAAGACTAAAATAAGCCTATACATTAGAAGTGTTCTACCTCAGAGGTAGGCTTTATGTCTTGTGCAGAGTAACATTAAAATTTCCCCTAGGCCTTTGCATATGGGCCAGGAGCAATATCACTACTATAGTACTCAACCTTTGCATAACTGCTTTCTTTCAAAGCGTAGAATAGATCCAAAATACAACCTGGTTGATCATAACTGATACTTTTGAATCAGGATTAGTATTAATTCACTTGAGAGAAACATGGAAACTTGATATTCAAGGCTACCTTTTCCCTGTGTTATTGCAGCTAAGTTCATCTGATTTGCGCCTTGAGACCATAGTATTAATACTTCAAGTTCTAATTGCGTCCAGAAGATTGTTCATAATGTTTATAGCAAATAGGTCTTTCTTTCCCGTAAGTTGGATTTTAAAAGAAAAGCAGGTACCAAGTGAAAGAGCACCCTTCAGTTAAGCAGATGGTGCATCAAGTTACAGATTTTTAGTCCTCTTGGATTGAAAATTAGATGAGAATTGGAACACGGAGGAATTTAGGATTATAAAAGCCATGAAACTGATCTTTGTTACAACAAAGCTGCTTTTTTCTTACCCTTTAGTGGCTGCTCTTCAGTGGCCAGTTCTAGAACTTCAGTTAGTCCTTTTAGCTGTTGATTGGTGCCATCTCAGAAGTTCTGAGAACTAGACAGTCAAAGAGCCAAGGTCGGTCCGCTAAATGGAGTCATTTGGAGATTCCTGAAGATTTTATAACTGCAGGAGACATTTAAAAGTGTTGGTTCTTAGGGATTTTTATTTATTCCCTTTAATATAATATTTCATCTTCATTAAGTGGTGTTAATGTAGGGAAGGGGTAATTTTTTCTTCTAGAGGGCAGAGAGATCCAGCTGTTATATGAATCTTACCATTTGAACATTTTCAAATGACAGTGAGTACAAAATTTTACCATGGTTATTATAACCTGCCATAGAACTGATAACAGACTTCTTAGAGGTTGGGACTCCTGTGGGAAGAACATTAGACTTGGTACCTAAAACCCTGGGTTTCATCCTAGCTCTTCCATCTAATAGTTCTCTAACTTGAGGATCATCATTTAACCTCCCTGAGACTTAGTTTCCTTTTCTGTAGATGGATAACAATGATTCCCAGCTCCTGTGGTTATTTTACAAGCATCAAACAATCTTCAAAAGTGTCATACAGAATATGTTATTAAGGGTAGGGATTCTGTTTTATTTCTTTATATCCCAGGAACAACAAATGTAGTAACCTGTCTTAAACACAAGTAATTGCTAAATTAAAAATCTCAAATGATATATGAGTAGGAAGTAAAAGGCTGCCATCACCCCAGCCTTACTCCACAGAAGGACGCTGTTGAAAATCCTTGTAGACCCTTTTCCATACATAAGCATAATATGCATTTAAACTAAAGGGACTCATATAATATGTATTCTGTGACTTCTCGTTGGACTTTCTGTGCTGGTATATTGTGTTTTCTCTTTGTTTATATCTGCATAGTATTCCTTTATATAAATGTGCCATAATCCAATCCTTTGATGGGCCCTTATGTTGCTTTCTTTGTAAATACATTTAACAATAGTACATTGTACAACCCTATGAGTACCCAAGTACTAATGAATTAACTTTCTTTTGCCTTTTAAAACAGCAAAAAAGAAGAATAAGAAGGGGAAGACTATCTCCCTAACAGACTTCCTGGCTGAGGATGGAGGGACTGGTGGAGGAAGCACCTATGTCCCCAAACCAGTCAGCTGGGCTGATGAAACAGACGACCTGGAAGGAGATGGTAATTTATTTTCCCTCGTGCTTGGAATTCTCATTATCTTCTAAATAAAACCTATTCTGTAATAGTGGCTCACACTTATAATTTGAAAGAAACTTATTTTGTGGAACCTGAAATCTTATGTGCTTTATGGAATTTTAGGTTTAGACTTGAAGAGTGTGATAGAAACTAAAGTGATGACTCGAGAGCTAGTTCTGGCTCTTGCATTAACAAACTTCTCAAGGTACTTATCCTTTAAAGCCTCAGTTTTCTTCATTTGAAAAGTGAGAACTAGATTATTTCCTTTGGGGTCTAAAATTCTGTGATGTCCTCATAAAGTGATATTGCAATATAATCTGTAAGCTGTTTATACTCAGAGTCAAGGATAATTCATTCTAGGAGCTGTTAGTAAGAAGTCACGGTCTCCTTGGGTAAACAAAAATGGTCTGAAGAAAAGGCATAGGAACAGTAACTAGGGTGGAAAAATACAGAAGAGTCATTGGGGTATCATTTGGACAAGCTCTGTGCTTTCAAAGAGCAGCCAGGAACAGGCAAGAGAGATATATAATATTTGGATATGGCATAAATCTGATCACCTATCATTTTTTTCTTAAAGCTTTCATTGTAGACTAAAGAATACCTTTTCTTTTGTGACCTGTTTTCATAGTAAGAAATTTCATATAGATTATACTTTCCATAAGTGTTGATGACTGATGTGCAAATTTATGGACAGTGCTATAGGGACAGAATTTATTTTTCTTTTAAATAAAGGGAGGATAAACCATGAACAAAACACTTTCTCCAGCTGAAAGGTAGGAATAGGAGTGTTGTCTGTGGCGGTTAAGTACATTTTGAGTGAGGGACCCATGTTGGAATCCTAGCTCTATCAGGATTACCATCTACTGCTCTACAGTCTGTGTGATCTTGGGCTAGTTAGTGAGCCTTCCTGAAATCTGAGTTTCCTTTTCTGTAGAATGTGGGGGGGACAACCTCACAGGATTAAAAAGACAAGATGGCATATGATGAATATGAAGTAGCTGGCACATGGTAACATTCTATAAATAGTAGTTGATATTCTCTCATTTCTTTGCTACATAAGGTATAAGAGTTACCATGATTCTGTTCTTTAAAAAAAGCCTGGGCCTTGAAAGGCCTTGAAATACTTAGAAAAAGAGACACTGGATACTGAGTCTTTTTGCATTGCTCTTGTGATTCTAACATTTCAGAAGCATTTTCTCGTTGTAAAGTCCCATTATTACTGAACCCCCACCCTTTTTATCTGTTTGTTTCCTGATATAGGTTATATAATACTTGACACTTAGCATGGGTCCTATTAGTCTACAACAGCAGTAAGGGACGTTCCCTCTAATTTCCTATGTCCACTTTTCTATCCTAGTTTCAACTACTTGGCACAGTAATGATGATGATGTGTATAGGGCACCTCCAATTGACCGTTCCATCCTGCCCACTGCTCCACGGGCTGCTCGGGAACCCAATATTGACAGGAGCCGTCTTCCCAAATCACCACCCTACACTGCTTTCCTAGGGAACCTGCCCTATGATGTGACAGAAGACTCCATTAAGGAATTCTTTAGAGGATTAAATGTAAGTCTACAAAGGTTATAGGCAATTAACTAGATAGAGGGGGGTAGCATATTGGTAGTGATTGTCTCTGATTTTCTATTGTGTCGTTGGTAAAGTCATGACACATCTTTACATTGAAAAACAGAAAAATATGTCATGACTTTCCCGACCAACCCAGTATATTGAGAAAGATTCTGAGGTTGTGTCTAGACTTGCAAGAAATGGATATATAATTGATGAAGTGGTGTTTAGGCTCTTTGAGAATGTTCTCATTCAACACCAATCGGACAGTTATCAGCAAAATTAACAATACCTTGTTGATACAGATGAGAGTCTCTAAAAAACCTATAGCCCTTCTCATTAAGAAACTTAAGATGATGTATCCAGTTAAATATTAAAAGGTGGAAAGAAAGTTGCTTTGAACTCAGCCATTCTGTTATTGAAACTTTGATTAAAAATACTTAGGATTTTAAAAAATGAAATAATGAGTAACAGTTTTCAGTTCTATTTTTCCCAGAGTCTTTGCCAATTAGAAAACATTAAAAGCACGTTTCTTCTAAGAGTCAGCTCCCTCCTTCCTTCTTACTTTGTTTTTTGACTCCCTTCATAGATCCTGTTCTCTGCAATGGTCCGCCAACTTATGTAGTTGGCTTTTCTGATGTGATTATTTTTGACTGCCACCTATAAATTCCCCTCTGTTTAATTATGTAGCACAGCTAGAAGGCTGACCTGTTTTAATTTCTCTCTAGTGGCTAATTTCTGTAGAATGTTGAATAAAATCTCTTATCTATTCAGGCTTCCCACATTTATGCTCTAGAACTGGTCTTTAGCTATTTCTTTCCCCCTTTCATATTTTGTTCCTTTTTCTACTGTCTCATGAGTTGAATTAAACTAGAATTTTAAAAGAGACTATAACAATCTATATCTCAGGAGCCAGAAAAAAGCATCAAATTAGTGATGCAGAAGATACTTGAATGTATGTATGAAGAAGTAAATCAAAAGGGTAAGAAAACATGTAGAAGACGTCAAAAAGATGGCAAGAAAGTATTAAAAATATGAGTATTTGAAACTAGTCTTAAAATTGGGAATGGAGAGTGCATACCCTCTTGTAAATAATTAATAAGAATTAGTGCCAGAGAATATTTTGTGAAACTTTAAAGGAAAAAATCCTGCAAACTTAAAATTAGAAAACACAAGTTAACTTCAAATTAAAACCAGGTTATTGTGAATTTTTTCCTGTACTTAAAACAGTAAAAATTCAGTGGTTTGCCATCTTAGAATTCAGCAGATGGGGTAGGAGTGAGGGGCTTTACAATCCATTGTTTGATTTGACCTAACTATTGTTCATGTATGAAGACAATAACATTTTTCAGTTAAATAAGGTTTCCGAAAAATACACTGCCAGAAAACTTTTGGCAAAAATTGAGTTGATTTTCTGAAATATAAAAATGGGAAATATATAAGGGTTAAATTTGTACTCAAATTGAAATGGTTTAATGTGGCATGCAATGAAGTCTGTCTTCTATTCCTTTGTACCAGTTTTCTGCCTAGAGACAACCAGATTCTTGTATACTCAAGAGAAATGTATTGCATCTACAGTGGTCCAAAAAAGGAGACAAATGAACAAGAACGTTGAATTGGGAAACATTTTCTGTTTTCTTTACTCCTGCAGATCAGTGCAGTGCGTTTACCACGTGAACCCAGCAATCCAGAGAGGTTGAAAGGATTTGGTTATGCTGAGTTTGAGGACCTCGATTCTTTGTTCAA